CACAATAATGCTGAGATTAGGAACCTGAGACCCTGGATAACGGTTGCACCTTTAGCAAATATTAGGGATATTTAGAAGAAGGGAGGGTTTAGAGGAAAAAATAATGAGATTAAAAAAAAACATTTGCCTCTTCAAGGAAAATCTGTGAATTATCCTCCTATATAGCTACAGCCTCCTTTTGTATGGTGGTTTCATTTACGGAAAAAATGTCAAGGTAAATATGTTTCAATTGCTTTAGTAGTTTGTCCACTTGCCATTGGACAAGAATATCATATTTAGAGAACTAATGGATTAAATTAATGTTTATTGGTGGTCTAAAAACTAGTTCTTGGGCATGACTGCTCTGTTACTATCACTATAGAAATAGAAAGGGGCCAGTCACATGAGGTAGGGGATCATTTTGTCTTCATACCAGGAGAGGCTGGTCTTTGAAAAAAGAACATTTTCTACTGCTGCAGCCACAATTGAGGCCTTTTCTGGATGGTAGAACCTACCATAGTTTCTCTGCTGTCATGATCTTTTAAGAACTCGCCACAGCCTCTCAAACCTGGATGGGGCATCAGAATAGGACTTTATCAAGTCACTTTATTACTTAGTTATTACATTGACTGTTCTTGCAGGCAGTCCACAAATGAATTTAAAGCAGTTTGCTTTCTGATCTAATCTACACATAGCTTGAACTGGACTTCATTGTATGTTTCCTTGTACAATTTAGTTTTACAGAATAAAAATGTGGATGTTTCCGGGCCTCTCTCATCAGTATTTACTTTTTTTGTTTTTTTCATTAATATAATTTTTTTTAATTTTTAAAAAATTTTTTCCCATTAATATAATTGAGTTAACAATTACTTTAGAGAATATCTATCCTCATTTTATAAATGTGACAATGGGAGCCCAAAGAGATGAAGGTCATAGTGATTTCATAGTTGATCTATACATGAACCCTTAACTCCCAAATCTGATGTTCTTTAAACCATGACCTGCTGCCTTTCTAAATGTATGCTTAGAATTTTCATGACCTTTTGTCAGCATTACAGAATTTTCATCACCTTTTATCATCCTTATGGTCTTTAGTAGCACGCTTCTTTTCCAGGGATATGTAGTTGTAATAAATTTGTCTAGAATTAATTGTATCAGTAGGGCACTATTCCCCTTCAGTATTCTTCTTTTTTTTTTTTCTTATCATGGAAAGAAGTGCATATCTGGAAGATAACTTGTTCTTAATTCCCAAATACAGCACTTAGTCCTCAAATGTAACTATCAAGTCAAATGACATAATGGGGGAGAGGAGAAACCCTGAGGTAAGCTTAACAGTTTCAATAGAAACAGAACACTTTTTACAGATTAATGAATAATTAGTCTATTGTCTGGTACTTTTAAAAATCTTTCTGGTATTGAAAAAAAAACTCCAATATTTGCAGGGTTTATATTTGAAGGCCTTTGTGTAGCTTAACTTAAGAGAAAGGCTGAGAACCCCAAACTTCACCAGCTTTCTATTTAAAGAAAAGCAAAAATATTATTTTTCAATGTTACAGCTAAAGAAAAAGAGGAAAACCAATTAAATATTTATTGAGAGTGCCTACTGTGTTTCTTAACATTTTGCTAGGTCTGATGAGAGACATGCTCCCTGCCCTTGTGAAATTTGTCTACTTAGAAGGAAAAAAAACCCAACCGACTGAGGGAGCTGATATTCGGTTCTAAACTGTATGCTGCTTATTGTAATGGCAGTAGAAGTTCAGAGAAGTGAGGAATTAGAATTTGAGCGGGCCTTGGAAAGATGAAGAAGATTTCAACAGGTGACAAGGATAGAGAATGTTGTAGGGGGGAGAGAATATTAGTGTAAGCAAAAGCAAGAAGCTACAAAGGGCAGGATGGTATGTGCAAAAAACACTAATCTCAGTGAATCATTTCATTGATAGGGTAATGGAGAAAAGTAGGTAAAAGGATTGATGTCCAGGTAGAGTAGGCCCAGTTATGAAGGCTTCCTTGGAATTTTCCTAACATTTTGTTTGTACAACTTCTGTGGCACTTACTTACATTCTGTCTTGCATTATAGATTCCATCCCAAATGTTCACATGGACCACTTGTACCCAACTTATGGTAAAGCCTTCTGAGTTCCTATTGGTCTGATCAGCTACAGTCAGACACACTGTATATTGATCCCAACCACAGTGATGTCATTTTGGTCTTCTTCAAGTACAAAGGACAACAACCATAGTTATATACTTGTCTTGTTGTCTTGTCCCTGCTCCTTCACAACACACCCACAGATTTCCCCCTTCAACTCTCTCACACACACACACACACACACACACACACACACACTCACACACACACACACACACACACACACACACTCACACACTCCACACTCACACACTCACACTCACATGTTCATGTGCGTGAGCACACAGACACACACACACACACACACACACACACACACACACACACACACACACACACACTCCTCAGCTCTTTGAAGGCAAGATTTGTTTCATTTGTCTCCATACTGGATATATAGAATGAAGCAACATTTCCTCAGCATTTAGCTGTCCAAAATATTTGTTGAATTGAGCATTGAATGCTGTGGTAGACAACAGTAAGTCAATCTATACCCCAGAATTCAAAGTCACACACACACACACACACACACACACCTGGCAAAAACAACACCAAGAAGTTTCCTGTGAAATTCATTGTCCCCCATATTATAATGCAAATTATAAAAAGAAAAAAAAGCTTCCAGTGATTCATCATCCTCTATACTATAATGCAAATCCTAAAAAAACAACACAAAGCTCCCTGTGAAATTCATTTTTCCTCCTATTATAATGCAAATTCTCTCTACCATCAGAAAATAGAATAGAAAATTCAGATGAAGGGTTAAGATCAATAAGCTTTCATCTATCAACCTAACTAAATATATTTATTTGTTAAACTTTACATCTAACCCCCTTCTCTACAATAAGGAATCATTCAATTCTGATTTAATATTCCTAATTTGTTAATTGGAATGGAACAGGGCTTGTCTGTTTAGTAAACTAGATCCTTTCAGGAGCAGGTAGGTAATAGGATTGCTCAGTCTAAGATTCTGCACACCCGTTCTATTATTAGAAATTTTCAGCATACTCTTAGTCAGAAGTATGCCATTGTTCAGTTCAAATTTAGTATGTCAGTTATAGGTCTTGATATAAAGGATGCACTTCTAATTCATCAATAGAAAAATGACACCATCTATTGGCAAAGTAAAAAATAACACCAGGAAGATGTGGAAGTATTTAATCCAAAATTATAGGGACCCCACCCTTTTGGATTGATGATTATTGGTTGTAAAGTAGTCATTTCAAAGAATGGGGGTGGGGCGAGGCATCTAAAATCTGTATGTACCTTTCAGTTTTCTTTCAGATTTTCATCCTAGAGAAAATAAACAGTTTTACATTTATGTGGCAAGAGCAGAGATTATAATTCTGTGTTTCAGATAGTAATAAATTGTGTTTCCATCATGACCTATGAGATGAAATTTATAGAGGAACACACATATGTGCACTTCTCAGTTGGGCGAGATAAAGCACCAGCTTCCTGCTAAAATAGTCTAATTAAACACTTTGTGATTCTTGAGTAAAAGTCCATTTCCCTAGGCAACAGTAGTCCTCTGCCTCTTGGGTTCTTGACTCCATTTGAGTATTCATGAGCTGCACATATGCATTTTTTAAAAAGGTGACCTAGTGCAGTAGAGAACTTCACTCATTCCTCTGTCAGAGACATTTCTATTAATTTATGCAGGCCCCTTTTGCACTTCAGCATTTTTCCTTCTAGTTGCTAGGCAACCATTTAAGTTACTGCGCATGTTTTTTTATGATAACTGTCATTATGATTATTTTTTAATTATTCAACTGGGAATATGGATTAAAGCAGCATATTGTCACTCATGCCTGTTACCTTCTAATATTCTAGCAGCCCTCCCCCCAAAAAGAGCTTTCTGGAATTTTGAGAGAAGCGGTTTGTAATATTTTGTGATATATTTGGCCACACAAAGGGAGTAGGCAGGCAATGGCAACATTCTGAAAAGGAGACTTTAAAATGATTCTATTTTTTCGTAAGCTGATACTGATCTAAATAGTCCAGGTCATGCAGCTAAATGATGAATATTGTTATTTATTCAGCTATGTATATAAATAAGCTCCAGTATAAAGTGATATTAATGTTTGTTTATTATGGTATTTAGGCTAAATTTCTGATGGAAAAATACTTCACAGTCTTGATTCTGTTTTACAAATTAATAAATTCCAGGCATTTTTGTGCTCTTAAAATACACTCTCAAATACATGTCTGTATCTTCAATAGATTTTAAGTAGACTTCTCAGAAATAGGAATCATTTTCACTTTCAAAATAATTTCCTTTTTTAAAAAATACATTAGCTGCCTTCTGTACATATAAATAAATGTATTTAGGTATTTATGTTAAGGTTTCCTCTGGATATTAATACAAGAAGCATAAGCATTCCTTGAAAAGGGACACAATTGAATTATATACATACACACACACACACACACACACACACAAAATTTTGACACATATCCTTTATGGTTAAGACAATCTATAATAAAGTATTATAAATAATGGTCAGAATGTAAAATGAATTTTTGGAAAAAACTAGCCATTTCTCCTTTAGCTCAAATAACTGTTGTTTCTCTAAATATCTGCTTTTCTGTTGAATAGAAAGCTTTTAAATGCTCCCAAAGGAGAGGAAAAGATTTGCTTGCCCTGAAAAATAAAATTTGCATATAGTGTGATAGGAGTTGTAGTCTTTGATGTTTTCATTTGACTTTGAAGTAACAGCAGAGTATATTGACTAATAGAGCAGCTGGATTTTGTATTGATTTAAGGAGCTCCATATTCCTGTGCATTTTGTAGTACAGTCTCTATATATTTTGTATTACTGACATTTACCGTAAAGAAAATCCCTTACTGAATGTTGCTTGATTTGTTTTTCAGTTCAGGGCGACAGCTAAGTGAAGTCTTCATTCAACTTCCATCAAGGAAAGAATTACCAGAATACTATGAATTAATTAGGAAGCCAGTGGATTTCAAAAAAATAAAGGTAGGTGTCATGTTTGAAAGCAAGCTTCCATTTAAAGAAATAAATGTAGAAATTGAGAGGAGGTCTACAAATTAAATAAAGGGGCTTTGGTGCAACCAGGGACGTGTGGGTAGCCTGTAAGTTGACACTTATGTCAGCCTATCTGGAACATGTCATTGGATAAGTCTGAGAATCCCTGTAGCTTACATTTTGGGTAGACTTTGTACAGAGACGTCAGATAATATTATAGGGTATTTTCTTTCAAAAATTTTCTCTCCTTTTCTTACTCCAGTTTTTCTCCCCCCTCCCCCTAATCTACACCCCCTCCTTAGAAAGAAACCTAACTTGTAGGAGGGTTATTCCTACAGAACCCAAAGAGAGAATCAGGCTATTATACATATTGTTAACAGAGTCACTCATTTTGTATTTTCTCTCCTGTCCTTCATTTTATCTAAAAATTCCATTAGGAAAGAATCCGTAATCACAAATACCGGAGCCTTGGTGATTTGGAAAAAGATGTTATGCTACTCTGTCATAATGCTCAAACATTCAACTTGGAGGGATCACAGGTTGGATTCATTTCACTTACATTTTCTAAGCTTCAATGTCTCTTCTTTTGAATAAAGCATCTTGCTCTTTAAACCTAGTTTTTAAAAATCATTTGAATACAGTTATGCTCCTATGACTAAACATCTGCCAGAAAGAGTCAAACATTATTATTCTGGATACATGTATAAGTCATTTGGGCACTTTCACATATTCTGTTTATTTCTGTATTTGTGGTACCCCTTTTGTCAAGCAGTCCATCATGTGTGACACTGATAAGCTGGCCTTGCTACTAACTAAAGCAAGAGTTCTTGTACAAACATTAAATTAAAATTAAGGTCAGAAGGAGAGTAACATTGTTTATCTATTATATATTTTACCTAAGCAAAACTGCCATCAGGAAGCTCCCTTAATAAATGTCCATGGGTAACAGAATAGAATGAATGGAAACATATCACCTTCATCTTGAAAATACTTACCTCTGTAACAGGCAACATGCTGTACTGGCATGATGGTGGCTGTGTAGGAAGGCAGAGAGCAGTGGTTCAGGAAGACATTATAGATGCAGAATGAACAGAGCTTGGCAATTGATTTACCATGTTGGCTGAGGGAAAAGGAGATATCTATAAGGCCTCTGAAGTTTTGAACCTGTATTAATGACTAAGAGCATGTTTGGTCCTCAGTAAAAATAGGAGAGTCTGGAAGAGTGGAGGGTTTGGAAATAGTGAGTTTGAGATGCTGACAAGGTATCCAGGTGGAGATGGCCAGTAGTCATTGAATGTTGGAGGCATGGAGTTTCTAGCAACAGAATTGAGGGAGGGAAAGAAGGAAAGAAGGAAGGAAGGAGAAAGAGGAGAGAGAGTTAGCTACCTAGAGATTTTAATGGAATCCATGAGAAAATAAAAAGAAGACAACCCAGAACAAAACCTTATGACTCGTACCAACTTAGAGGGTGAGATAATCCAACAGGAACTAGGAGATGACCAGATCCCAAGAGAGCTTTGTATTCTAGAAGTCAGGAGAAAACAAATCATGAGGTTGAAGAGGGAGGGGTACCTCTGAAGAGAGGTGAAGTATGGAAACTGACAGAAGGCCATTGGATTTGTCAGTCACTGACTGGTAACTTTTGAGAGAGCAGTTTCAGTTGAAGACAAAATTCAAAAGCATCATAAGCTTTCCTCATAACTAAGGAAAAGGTGATTTTTTTGGTGGGGAGTATGACACATAGTGGGAACTTAATAAATGCTTGTTGATTTTTCCTCATGAACCATAAAATGCTGTATGCATGTGAGTTATTATTATTTCCAATCTGTATCTTTGGCCTTAAATATTGATACTGAAAAAAGGAGGGGAGAGGTACTATTTCAATGCCTCTGCCAGTTGATGCAACTGAGGCTACCTTAAATTCCTTCATCTTTTATATGTCACTTTAATTTACCTTTCCATCTGTCCTTACCAACTGATTAAAGAACATTTGAAGTCTCAAAATGATTCTTAGGCATACTCTACTTTCTAAGATATAACTGTGTTGCCGTTTGTTTTTCTGACGAAAATAATTGGTATAAAAGGCAAACCTCTTCCTTACAGCAACACTCTTTAGGTAAGTTTAAAATAAAAGCTAGAATCTAAAGGACTCAAATAAGAATGCTTTTGTGAGGGACATTTATTACTAATTCTTGTATTACATATAATTCTTCTTAATCCTGATAGTGTCATTATAGTGACAAGTCTGTCTAGATCTTTATCACCTGAAAAGTGAAGTGTGGTTCAGATCTCTTAATTAGTCACTCTGCCTCCAGTTTCTCTCCCCTGCAATTGACCTTCAATGCCTTTCTAGATCAGGTCTCCTAGATTACAACTTTCATTTTACTGCTCCACTCTTCAACATTCAATGGCTCTCCAGTGCCTGCAGGATAAAGCCCAGACTCCATTGCCTCCAGGCACTCCATAGTATCACCCCAATGTGACATTCCTACCTTATTTCCAAACAACCTAAAACTTTATAATCCACCAACTTCAGTCATGTCAGTCTGTTCACTGACTCCTAGATGCAGCTGCTTCTTTCTGACCTCCCTACCTTTGCTTACAGCATTCCCCTCTCTTAGAAGGCCTTATCCTATTTTCTACAGCTATCCATAAACTACCTTGATTTCAAGGCCTAGCTTTAAGTTTCATTTCTTCAGTGAAACCTCCCCTGGTCACAGTAGTCTTAGTTCTCATTTGTGTTCTCCCTCTCCCTCTCCCCTCTCCGTCCTCTCCCCTCTCTATTCTCCATCCTCTCCCCTCTTTACCCTCTGTCCTCTTTCCTCTCTACCTCCAGTTCTCTCTCTCTCTCTCTCTCTCTCTCTCTCTCTCTCTCTCTCTCTCTCTCACTCACTCACTCACTCTCTCTCTCTCTCTCACTCACTCACTCAGTCACTCAACCTGCTGCTAACTTGCTCTACTTTCATCCAGGTTTGGTGGGGAAATTTGGCACTTGAAGGATGCTGCCTTGTTTTGTAACAAAGCAGTAATCCTTATACTATCTAAAGGACTTTCCTCACTACAACCTTGTGGGGTAGACAATGCAAGGATCATTATTCCTATTTTGTCAATAAGGAAACTGAGGCTTAGAGAAATTAAATGACTTGCCCAGGGGCACACTGCTAAATTGGTGTCAGAGCTGGAGTTTGAACCTAAATCTTTTGATTCTAGTTCGCTGTCCTTCCTCCCCCTACATGCCCTATTTTGTCTCAACAATGAGATCTTGAACTTTGAAGGGGCCATATCTTTTCATTCTACCTAGGCAGCTAGATGGTTCAGTGTATTGAGGGTGCTGGCCTGGAGTTAGGAAGATTAGAGCTTGTGACCAGCCTCAGATGCTTACTGGGTGTGTAGGGGTCTTTGTTGTTGAGGATCAAATGAGGTAATATTTGTAACTAGCTTAGCACAGTGCCTGGCACATAATAGGTGCTAAATATTGTTTCCTTCATTGTTTTTATCTATCAAGATGCCTACATAGTGCTGTGCACATTAGGTGGTCAATAAATATAGTGTTTATTGATATAATTAGTATTAGAATAGTTATTAGTGCTGATAAACAATAACATATTAGCTTTGATTTTGTTATATAGATTGCTATTTTTAAAAAATAATAATTCTCATAAGGAGTGAATTATATTTGATAGGACCTATAAATACAAATTATTTCAATAAATAGTATTTTTATCACCAAGAAAACTTCATTGTAACTTTCCATTATACCGTGTAGATCATTTGAATTGGATATTCCCTATCCATTAGAACTTAGAGTTCTATGTCCTACAAAATGTGTTTAGGTTAGTTTGGTTTGGGATATTAATAATCAATATTGCCATTTCTTAGAATTCATATAATTGTCATTGTTTTCTATGGAAAGAAGTCTGAATTTTTTGTTTAAATAACTTGAAACTTTAACAGATATATTAATTAATTTAATTTAATAATTGAATTTTAATTCTGTAGATCTATGAGGACTCCATTGTTCTACAATCAGTGTTTAAGAGTGCACGGCAGAAAATTGCCAAAGAAGAAGAGAGTGAGGATGAAAGCAATGATGAGGAAGAAGAGGAAGATGAGGATGAATCCGAATCTGAGGGTAATCTGGATGGTCCAATTGTACCATTTCTTTGCTGTTTCACCTTTCCTAGAGTTATTTCAGGGTTGTGTGAAGAGCCTTTGAAAACCTGGGGATCATATGTAGTGTCTATCAAGTTTGCCCTTCATTAAGATACTCCACCAAGTTTAAGAACATAAGTGTAGGAATTTTTTGTGCTGGGTCAGACTCATTGTCCAGCCATCAAGATATGTTTTGTGAAAGAGCATGGTTGTCTTCCCTAATGTCAATCCCATGGGTTAAAGGTGTGGTCTAATTATAGAGCCCTTATATAGGGGAAGATTCCATTAGAAGGAGTGGTGATTTTCTCATTGTGAACATTGCCATCCTTGGTACAATCACAACCTTTCTCAGACTTAGTGGATACTCTTTGAGAGTTGCTGTGGTCTTCCATTGCTTCCCCCTGTGAATGACCTGGTAAAGAACATTCTTAGCTGACTGGTAATTATACAGGCCATCACCATGACCAATATGCCAAGCCTTTCCATATTGGCATAGGACATTCCAAAGCTTACTCTCTGCTGGCATCCTCTTAGAAAACCGAGGGTGACCTCTATGTCATGATGAGGCATCAGAGCAAAACATTAGTACAATCAATCATATATACTACACACTAATTTAATTAAATTTTAATCTACATTTTAAACTTCTGGCAATTTCAAGAAGTTTACTGTGTGCTGAATAAAATCATATTTCCTTTTATTTGTACTAAATTTGCCTCTTTCCGTTCCAAGTCCACCATCTAGTTCTGACAGTCGAGAACTTAATAAATATATTTGAATTACAGAACTTCTGATTTGGAAGGTACTTCAGAGGTCATCTAGTCCAATGCATATTTGAACAAGAAACCACAAATGGTCATGCTTTGCTCAAGGACCACTCAGAAGAAGGAGGGAGTCTCTGATCTCCTCCAGCAGCCTACTTCATTTTTGGACAGAGCCAATTGTAAAGCAGTTGTTCCCATACAATGAGTCTAAATATTCTTCTCAGCAATGTCTTTTCTATGTGCTCTCTTGGGCCCAGTAGAATGAATCTAATGCCTCTTCCACCCAACAGTCTACATTTACCCCATCCATGTACCTTGTGATGTTTTATAGTTTCAATTATCTACCATTTCAGTCTTATACTTGACCGTACTTCTGTGTTCACAAAATGGCCTGTTTATTGTTAGGGAGTATTTCTAAATCATTTTTGTATCCTTGAAAAATGTCTGCATTACCCTCACCTCATTCCCTGCTAATTAATTTCATTTTAACTTTTATTATGAGACTCTGTCAAGTTACAGTTTAGTACTGCCTTTCTCTTTTTGAAATAATACCCATAAATACTCAACTGCCCCATCAAAATAATACATGCTGTTTCCAAAAAAAATTTGTTATGTATGGTATAAACCCCATTACCTAGACTCTTAAGTAAGAGATTTTATATTCTCTTATAATTATCTCTCCTTACTATGCCATTAGATAGCTGTGTACTCCTGAACAGATCATTTAGCCTCTGAGTATGTTTTCTCATCTGCAAAATGAGCTTGAATTAGCTGTTTTCTAAGACACCCCTTCTAGCTATGTGATTCAATATCATTTTATCATGATTTATGAAAACCCACCAAACGTGATTTCCTGGTGAGTTTAGTCAGTTTCTTATCTTCAGAAAGGAAGATCAGTTCTATAAGGAAGCTCCTAGTCTACTTTATAGCCTACTCTTCACCTCCTCCATTGTATGGTGGCACATGGATTAGAGTTATTCCTAGACCCTAATATTAGTCACAGAATCAAGTGTCAAATTGTTCCTCTCCCATGATGCTTTCACTAATGTTGTAATGACTTTCACCTTTGGAAAGAATAAAAGGATCTCAGACTTAACTCACAACTTATCTAGTTCAGCTAAGCCTCAAGAATTATATCTACTATATTCATGATAAGTAGCCATCCAGTCTTCTCTTGAATACATCCAATGATAGAATACCACCACTGTCACTTCCCTTTTGGTTAGGTCTGATTGGTTGGGTTTTTTTTTAATTTTCCTTTTTATTGTGAATGTAACAATATGGAGAGAGGCGCCGCCTTCCTCATCACTGCCAGCAGTGGCCGTTGCCTGCAGCCAACAGACAGATAGGCACAAAAGGTCTGGGATGGGCAGCACCCTCCCAAATGACAAGTCCTGCTTCCAATTTGTCCCTCACACCCATCCTCCTGTAAAACAAGTCTTGTGGAGAAGGGGCCAACCATCCCCATCAACTACTAACCATCTGCCACTCATAGAGCAAGCAAGCTACCCTACCTGAGGTAGTGAGGCACACCAAGGAAGAGACAGGAAGCAGATTGTTCCAGGCAAGTCAAACCTTCACCACCACCTTGATATACCACCTCCCCTAAGACTTGATGGGGATAGCCCAAGACCTGGAACCCAAGAATGGCAGTGTCTTCAGCCCCTTCTCCACCATCCTAAGAAGCAACTCCTATGGAGATACAGCCTTGAAACTGCTCCTGCAGCTGTTAAGGCCGCAATTAATAAAGACCCAGAAAAAACAAAGTCCTTGTCACCAAAGAAAGTCCTTTGTACTGTCAGATAGTTTGACAGCAACTGATATGATTTTATCAATGGAAATGACATTTTAAAAATCATTATCATCTTCTTTGCCATTGCACCTAAGGACATTTCTCTCTGACTTGCAGCTGAAACCTTATATGTTATTTCATCCATTAGAAGGTGAGCTTCAGAGTAGAGACTGTCTTGCACAGAGTAAGTGCTTAATAAATTATTTATTCATTCATTCAAACACAAACATTCAAATATTCAAAGAAATCTTACATAAGAAACTGTGAATTTTTATACATAATTTATTTTTAAAGAAGCACATATGTATGTATAAGGGGTGTGTGTGTAGGTGTGTAGGTGTGTGTGTGTGTAATAAGGAAGGAATGAAACTCTACCATATTTGTCTGTGTCCCCTTCTGTACATTTTATTGACTTCTGAGCATTTTTTAAAGTGCTGTATTGATGCTTTTTTTTTTTACTTATCACAACTTATTAACTTAACCTTTCCCACCTGAGAAGATGCTCTCCCTTGTAACAAGTATTGTCTGGAAAAACAAATTAATACATTGGCCATGTCTGAGAATACATATCTCATTCACTAGTCTATTACCTCTATTTTAAGAGTTTGGAGGTATGTTTTATTATTAGTCTTTTAAAGCCTCTATTTTTAACTACCTTGATCAGCGTTTTATGGTTTTCGGAAATTATTTTCCTTCATTTTTTTTTCTTTTGTTGTGGTCATCGTGTAATTTGTTTTCATAGTTCTGTTCATTTCACAGTGAATCTGTTCATTCAAAGTTTCTCATGTTTCTTTGAATCCATATTCATCTGTTATATTCATATATCACGATTTGTTCAGCCACTCTCAAATGAATGGGCATCTGTCGTTTCCCATTTTATGGTACTGCCAAAATGCTGCTATAAATATTCATTTGCATGTTAGTCCTTTGTCTCTGTCCTTGATCTGCTTAGGATATATGCCTAATGGTAGTATCACTGAGTCAAAGGGCATGACCAGTTTGGGATCTATCTTCAAATTTTTTTCCAGAAAGCTTGAAACGATTTACAGTTCCACCAATAAGGCAATAGTATACCTGTTCTCTTACAGGTCCTGCAACAAATTTTGTCTCTTCTTTTGTCATCTTTGCCATCCTTATGTCAGAGGCAGCTCTACATAACAGAAAAATTTTCTTTAGATTCAGCGGAAATCTGCCTCTCCTCATTTTCCCCTCCTTGTTCTTAGTTCTGCCCTCGTATGCCATCCCCACCACGTCTTAGCTTTAGCAAGAGTCCTTCAGATGTATGAAGACAGCTATCATCACACTTCCCTTGAGTTCAAGTCTTCTCTTACCCTGATTAATCTTAGCCAGTTCCTTCCATGGATCCTTTTTAGCTGGGATCTTCAGTTCCCTTGGGATCCTAGTGATTCTTCTGTTCCCCAGGGTTTTCTTAATGTCTTCAAAATGTGATACACAAAACAATGCAGAGGTAGTCTGTGGAATTAGAGTTGAGTGGAGACTATCACTGTGGGAAGCTATGGCTGTCATTTCTGTGTAGGGGCATATTACCTCTTCCAGCTTCCATGTCAAATTATTGACCTGTATTGCAATCTACTTCAGTTCCTAGGTCTTTTGCATTTAACTGCTGAATAGCCATTCCTTATCTCTCTTGTGCCATGTATTTTTGAACCTGGATATAGCACTTTACATTTATCCCTATTAAATTTTATCTTAATAAATTAGGTCTGTTGTTTTTAACATGTCTGGATCTTTTCTAGAACTTTTCAAATAGCACATCAACTGCTTCCCCCAGATTTATGTCATCTTTTCTTTTGATGTGCATGCCATCTATACCTTCATCCAGGTCATTGATAAGATTGCTAAAAGAGCACAGAGCTAAAAAACAGATCCACTAAGGGACATTCCACTACAGACCTCCCTCCATGTTGAAACTCATTAATGACTGTCCTTTGGATCTTGTTCAACCAGTTCTAAATCCACCTAACATTATCTAGTATACATCTCTATATTAGTCATGAAAACTACCCAAGGCACTTTGACAGATATTTTGTCAAAATCCAGTTATGTACAATGTCCACAGCATTCCTTTGATCTAGTCTGGTAATGCTGGCAAAAAAGAAACCAACTTAGTCTGGAATGAACTGTTCTCAATGAAATCATATTGACTCTTAGAAGTCAGTGGTTTCCTTTTCTAAATGCTTATAGTTCATCTCTTTGACAACATGTTATGGAATTTTGCCAAACAGCAAAGTCAAGCTTGCCAATCTATATGGTTCCACTTTTTTGAAAATCGGGACAACATTTACCCATCTTCACTCCTATATCATCTCTCCCATTCTCCATATTTTTCAGAGATGACTAACTGTAGCTGAGTGGTCACATGTGCCAGTTCCTTCAGTAGCCTGGGATGTAGTCTGTCCAGAAATGGTGACATGATCTCATTTAATGGAAGCTAGGTGCTCTCTTACCATCTCATTTATCCTGATTTCAGCTCTCTGCTAACCTGTTTTGTTTTATCCTTCCTAGTCCAAAGAACAGTTTCCTTGTTAGAGAAAGCAAAAGCTCTGGAAGATTTGCATGTGGCTGGCTACAGGAATAATGGACTGCCTGCAGCTTCTGTTTTCATTGTGGCATCTTTCAACACTGTTCTCCTTCATGTAAACGAGAACATCCTCGTTAGTGATTTTCCTCTAAGACTTTGGGAAATCAGCTAACTAAATACGAGGCAGGAGGTTCCAGTCAGACCCAGGGAATGGAGAAGCAAGCCCCTCACCAAGGTCATGCTCCTGGAAACTGAGGGAACCTAGGATCTAGGCCAGAACAAAACAGGTGGCCCTTAGGACTGATTGATTCTGGGGCCACACCCAGTGCCTGGGGAATGTGAGGAAAAAGTGTTTGAGTAAAAAGTCTTCTGGAAGAGTATTTGGTGTGATATGAAACAGCTTTCCTTGTATGGTTGATAGAGATGATAAAGAACAAATAATTGGGGATTAGTCAGCATGGTAATTTGTAGCTGGGATAGTATATGTGGGCTGAGACATAAAGTACATAGGATCGATGATCTACGATGAAGTGTCTTCTAGTTGGAGAGATACTTTTAATAGACTCCATTGTAATAACAACCAAATTTTAGAAATTAATTTTTGGAATTTAATTTTAAGTGAGGACTAAGGTGGAATTGCCTTCATCTTATTTTCCCCTCCAAACCATCCTGTCTGGTTAGATGGGGAACAACGTTATCTGTGTTTTTAGATGCAAGGATTGAGGCAAAAGGAAGTTAGTAATTTGTGTACAGTCACTCCGGTAGCTGGTGGCAGAATGAAAACAAGTCTTTGGGTCTCTTGCCTCCCACCCTGGCTGCTCCTTTCACTAGCACACACTGCCTCTTATAGTATGGTCAGACATTTTTGACTACCTAGAGGGAAGTGAAGCTTTTCCTGGGATTTAATTGGTGATTTTCTCCTTCTAGCAAAATCTGTGAAAGTGAAAATCAAGCTTAATAAAAAAGATGAGAAAGGCCGGGACAAAGGAAAAGGCAAGAAGAGGCAGAGCCGAGGAAAAGCCAAACCTGTTGTGAGCGATTATGACAGTGATGAGGAGCAAGATGAGAATGTAAGTATTTGTGGTACAGAAACAGTTGAGTGTTTTAATGGCTCTGTGGGTGATGAAGCAATGAGGTCTAATGGGGAACTTACATTTGAAGCATGATGTAAGAGAAATGTTAATATGCCTATACTGAAATAGACAGAATTTACTAGAAATCATAAGGCAGGAGGCACATGATTTAAAACTAAAATGTTTTTTTTAATCTCACTTAAAAAAATTGAAGACTAAGAAAGAGGTCCTAAAAATTACAAGTGTAATTGAGGAATTATAAACTAGTTTTTAAATTATTTAAACTTACTTATAAATTTTGGAAAATGAATTCATCTCAATTTCAGGAATTTGGGATTAAAGCAGAAGGTACCTTTGTCATAGGTAAACTAGAAGTCTTAAGTTCCTCCTTTAAAATGTCTAACATGATCTTATCAGATTGTCTCTCTCTCTCTCTCTCTCTCTCTCTCTCTCTCTCTCTCTCTCTCTCTCTCTCTCTCTCTCTCTCTCTCTCCCTCCTCTCCCTCTCTCTCTCCCTCACTCTCCCTCACTCTCCCTCTCCCCCCCCCTCCCGCTCACCCCCCCTCCCCCTGTCCCCCTCCTTCCCTCCCTCTCTTCTCCCTGTCTCATTCAAGAAAGATAATTTACATTTTCTAGGCTTAGGAGTTTATTTTTCTCTTTGGCTTCTCAGAGGAAAAGTTTCAAAGTTGTCATCCCACCGTGTCTATAATATATAATGTATATGATATGTAATGTAATATAATTTCAGACACATACAGATTTTTGTGTGAAATTATGCAAGCTTCAAATGAGCAAGGGTCATGTAGCTTTGACCCTGTGAACTCATCTAAAAAAACCCACCATGTCAAAAAATAAGAGTTAATTGTCCAAGTTTGTCAGAACAGGGCTAAAGCAAATGATGCACATAACCAGATATCTTTGAGCGCATGCATTCTTTAAGGCACTTTGAGTTTTCTCCCTAGAACACCTTTTCTATCAAAAAAAGAACATATGATGCCCCCAATAATTTCCTTTGTCTTGCTTTTCCACCTAGTGAAGAAACTTGTAGTAAGGCATGTTTCCATCATATTTGTTCCTTCCTACATTATACTTTAACATACATTTTTAAGGTGCTCAGAATTTTTTACCTTATTTGATTTTGTTTTGTTTTGTTTTTATTTGACCCTCAGGATCAGTCAGAAGCAAGTGGGACTGATGACGAGTGATCAACATAGGACATTTTTCCTGGTAGAAATGAACTCCCTCCCCTCTCTCATTTACACCCAGTGAATTCATTTTGTCAGATAGACATTGGGTTGTTTCTGTATTCTCATCATCTATAAACTAGCTTTAGAAAGATAGTGCCAGACAAACATATGATATCATGGTGTAAAAAAGAAAATGAAAAAATACACAAAAAAATTTGTAAAATATTGTGACCAAATGGGCCTCTAAGATTGAATAAAAATAAGCTTTTGATGGAAAATATGTGGGTTGATAGTATATTTCTATGGGTTGGGTTTAGTTTGGTAATGGTTTGAGTGTGCCTGGTTTTATCAACTGTTGAGATGCTTTAACATAGCATCAGAAAGATGAAAAATGTGTCTTTTGTAGCACTGATAACCAGGAGAAGCCATTAAAAGCCACTGGTTATTTTATTTTTCATCAGGCAATTTTCAAGGTTTTTATTTGTTCTGTATTGTTTTTTACACTGTGGTACATATATGCAACTTTGTTTAATAGCTGATAAATGTACAGTAGTTAGACTTCACCCCACTCCCATATACATTTTTCCACTTTATGCTCAATGATCTCTGGAAAAAAAAAGCCTTTTGAATTTTATCAGATTCATGTCGACTGTAAACTTTGCTCCTTTTTTTGGCTCTTGATTTTAAAAAGTTTGTTTGAAAAATGCTATTGAATATTGCAATCTATATAGTGTAATGGATGGCTTCTTTTATCAAACTGATCTTCTATGTTACCAATGTGGATTATCACCTTTTCCCTAAAGTGTACTTAATCTTTGCTTTCTTTGCACAATGTCTTTGGTTGCAAGTCATAAGCCTGAGGCAAATAAAATTCCAGTAATTTTGAAGAATGTGGTGTTGGTGTTTTCCTAATAAAGAGACAATTTAGCTCAATAAATATTGCCTTGTGTTTATGAGTTTCAGGAGATCTGATTCTTGTTGCTGCGTTTAAGTGAATACATCTGACAAACCCTGTGTGTTCAATAAAAGTATGTAAAAGTTCATAATCAAAGAGAGCCAATTAGTAAAAATGAGGGGGGGAGGGCAGGGAGAGAGATGATTATGATGATGATTCCATTATTCTTATCATTGATTGTGTCTCTAAGTGATCTTTTCCTAAGTTATTGATAGTTAAAATTTTAGTGATCTCTGGAAATAAAACTGAACAAAGCATCTGTGGGCAGTAGATAAGGTTTAAAAATCATGCCCACATGTTTTTCAAAAATTATGTCCCCAGTGTGCTCCTTCCTTCCAGAAACTTTGAGCTTTCACTCTTAATACATGTGACTTGGTGACTTACCATGAAGTAAATACTATTGTATTTTCCTTCTGCCCATCACTTTCTTCTAACTATAATCATCTTAACAACAACCAACATTTATATAATACTTTTGTACCCTATATACATTATCTCATTTGAACCTCAGTGCAACCCTCTGCAGTGGGTGGTATCAGTACTGTATCTCTGTTTACAGATAACAGATATTTAAATACATAAGGATGATGTGATTTGCCCACAGGCACACAATGGTCACTGGCAAATCGAGGACTTTAAACCTAGGTCATATGACTCCAGATTTAGTGTTATCCCCACAAATGATTCAACCAAGTGGTCTAAGATCATAATATTTCACACTGTGAAAACCTCTAAACCATAAAAGTAATCTGATGGTATTGAATATAAATAATGTTGATGTTAAGAAAAGGTTGTAATGAATATAGAAAATACAAAAAGGTATATATACATATATATATATATACACATACACATATATACACATATATGTATATATACACATACATGTGTGTATACACACACACACATATAGTATTTTCTTCAAGCTGATGCCAAATTATCTCAGTAAGAAAATTGAAAGCTATGCAACTCTTTCTGACATTTCCAATGCCTTCTACTTTGGTTGAGGGGAATGGCACGACGGTGGGGTGTCACCAGTCTTTTCTAACAAAATAAAACTACTCTACAGGTGACCTATGAAGGGAAAACCAAATATTCAAATTGGTAAAAAATCTCATCAATTTGGGAGCTCCCTCTAATTATGTAAATACCAGCCCATCTATGCCTATCCATATCTTCTCATACACTTGCCACAGAGGGTCTGCCCAGTGTACTAGATGTTTTCTTTGCTTTCTCCAAACATCATAAGGGTACTAATGGAATTCTCTGGGTATCTATCTGTCTTTCCTCATTTTTGCTAAGTGACTACCCCATCTTCTCTTCCTGTCATACATTTCCCTGATGGACTTCTTTTAGTCCTGTTCTTCAGATTTCCTGATGAGTTTTATGTTATAGCCTGGTCATGTGTCATCTATCTTTCTATTGTCTTCTGTGGAATATTCTTTTTTTAATTCCTTGGAGGCAATTGTATTCTGTGACATACTATCATAAATTGGCATCATGTTGATATTAAAAAGATGGTCAGAAAAGGAGTTTTGCAATTTCCTGAGGAATCTAGCCCTCTCTTCTCCTTTTTCAATTCTGGGCTTAACTCATCCATCTGGGCTGTATGTCTCTTGGTAGATAGATGAGGAATAGGTAAGTCCATCCAAACACATGTTGAAATTGGGGCGATAAAACATTCTTTTTCCAGTTACTGTTTCCTAAATAGATAAACTCCCTTAAGTGATTACTCATCTCTTCCAGGAGGCTATAAAATATTTTGGGACACAATGCAATTAGTATGATGGCATCCATAAATAGAAATATCTGGAGGAGCATCCTGTGTCTATGAATCCCTCTTCTACCTTGATTCTCAACTGGATCTCCTTCATCATAGTAGCAAATGCCTTTGGCAAGAATGCATACTCTTGTTTATATGTCTTGTTTCAGAGTGTCATTGAATATAGGGTTATTTTTTTTAATCTTTCAAGGAATCCTGAATGATTTTGATTTATGGATAGAAGATACCTTCTTATTAAAAAAAAGCCAATCTGAGGTCGTTTTATTCTTCTGAGTTAAATGCATTTCTACAATCAACAAGCATTGTAAATGATAAATCAAAAGATCAATAAATAAATTGAGAAATAGCATGAAAGTCCATTGCTGAATATTACTTGCAAAAGCCTTCAGCTTCCCTATTAATAACCTGCCTCATTGCAGATGCTCTCAATTCATGTATAAATGATTCTTTAAAATTTTATATTAGATGGGAAAGTAGACTTATAGGTTGTTAGTGATTATTGTTCTTTTGTTCACTGTTTTGGATATTAATAAGATCCTGCATTATTTTTGATGCCTTTGGCATTTTTCCCTCTTTCAAATACATTGTGGGCTGATGTCCCTTATGGCCTCCATCACAAATCTCCTCTACACAAATTTGGTTCAGTCCAGTGGCTTAGTTTGTCTTTGTTCTCTTTAGAGTTCTTCTTACTACATCTTTTTAAGTACATGCAGGACTGTGATATAAGGTTCCATGTGTGGGGCTTCCACAATTAATGGAGAAGTTTGTTAAAATGATTTTTGCAAATCTTTTCCATTTTTCTTCTGTTTTCCTCCTTCCGTTTTTCAACCCTGAATGCCTTTTGAATGACTTTGCTTAGAAATCTTGCCAAACTTTTTAAAAATTGATTTTACCCTTTACTGCTCTATTTTATGAGATTACACTGCTCATAATTTTCTATCATGAGTCATAAGAGTTTACAAATGAGTCTAGCCCAGCTTTACCTTTTGTAGCCATCTCTCTTCATTTGGCAAATGTCAAATATTTGCTGACTAAGGCACCTTTTAGTCTCCTTGCGGCAACTAATTTACATTGGTTAATCTTCTGGGTGAATGTATTACATAAGGTGTCAATGTTGTGTTATTGCTACCCAATTCCCATTTTTTAATTTTTTAAATGTGGGTTCAATAGTTTAAGTTTAAATTATCTCAATTTTTCACTGTTATTTTTTTTCCTCATCAATATTCTGGTGTGTTTCTTTTTTTGTACTAATGATCTCAACTCTGATGGGTCAATGGTCTTACTGTACATAGACAGATAATTCGGAATAACTCCCACATAAATAACAAGTCTTTTCCCATCCATTAAAATGTAACCTATTTTATATTTTATGGTGTTATCTGCACCTCCTTATCCAGGTCCTACCCATATTTTCTTGGAAACAAATGTTCCTCATACATGAAGAGTAAATCCTTCTAACATGCATACTAATTGTAACTTCTGAAATGTGGAAACATGATAACATTTAGGTGCACAAAAAAAAGATGAGTTCTAGCTGTGCATCTAGTTTCTCAGGTTTCCCTTAAGCTCCAGGTGTAATTGCTTTAGGGACATTCATCCTTCTTGATGAAAAAGGGTTCAGCATTCTTCAGCAATGAAAAACTCTTCCTTTTGTTTGTGACATCAGTACAATGAGGAAAGATGTGCCAACCATCAACTGACTTTCTCTGAAGAAAAAAAAATGTAAATGATATTAACATCTAGATAGGGTTTTCTGGCTGACAAATTGAACAGAATCCAAAGGTGTGTTGGCAAATGTTTAACAACCAGCTCTCCAAAAATGCATGACACACTTTTTAGTTTACTCTACAGCATTAATATTCTCTCATTGCTTTCTTAAGTCTAAACAATAATAAAACAATAAATCAAGCCCTGGTTTGTAGTGTTTGCTGATTTCCAAATGTAAATACACTGAAAATTTGTCAATCACCCTTGACTAAATCCCACTAAAAATGTTTTTAAAAAAATACATGCCTCTTGCAAAAAGACAAAGCTGACACTAGAGTTGATGAATACAATTTCTTCTGCTACTTGGTGACAAAGAAAATTTTAAAAAAAAGAAAGAAATTGAAATTCTATCTTTGGGTAACCAGTGGCCACTTACAAAAGAAATTTTAGCAAGAGTTCCAAATTACTAATCATCAGATTTATCTAGAGGGTTTGAAGAACTTACCTGTTTTAACTACACTGTGGCTGCCCTACTGTGGGTATCACTGTAGCAATCAGGCTAGAACATCCATGATCCATGATCTCTTTCCCTGAAACTTAAGACACCTTTTCTAATCACACATCTTCCAGATGTTGACATAAGATACATTTTATAAATGAGAATTATTTCCTATGATAAACCTTTCTAATCAGATCTAATAGGTTCTACTTTTTGTATTCCACCGACCAGCCCAGTCCTGCTTTATTACAATGCAATCTGTACTGAGTAAGAGAATTAGCCTTGTCAATGAGATCTCAAATCCATCGAAAATACCAAACTTCTGAATTAGAAGTACAAAACTAACTGAATGAGTCACATAGTTTTCAATAAATAAATAATGCAACATATAGTTTATGAAGCTTTGGTCCACTAAACCAAAGATAGTGTGAAAGGCTTGACAATTTACAGGTTTCTTCTCTGAACCATCTTAAATTTGAGGGAGTAGCCTGCCATAGTACAGAATGAGCACTAAACAAGAGTTTAGTTATCTTGGGCGAATTATTTAACCTCTTGAGCTTTAAAATCGTCATCTAGACAATGGAGATAATCTTTGTCTGTTCAGAGTTGTTTAGAACATGTGAAAGCTTGGTAACAGGTAAAATGTTATACTAATCACAGTAACATTGCTACAGCCTCTCCTTTATCTAGTAATTATTTCCCAATGTTTAAGAAGAAAATAGGTTTGGCTCAGAGGACAATTATTCATCTAAGTATGCAAGTAGACACTATGGTGACCATGACCTTACAAGAGTACACATGAATCTATTGGCTTCTACAACATTTCTTGGTATTAAATGGTAAAAATTACTTTTCCACCTTACACTTACATAAAAGATGTTCCTTCTCTAATCCACCATATCTCCGTAAACCTCTGTATTGGGTTTAAGTAATTCATGCAACTTTGAAGAAATTCTTGGTAAATCCCTGATGTAACCAATGCACGATAATCAT